TCCGGGGGGGGGGGGGTGCTTGGCCGTGATGGCTATGGGCCGAGAGAGGCCGTGTTGCTTTGTCCAAATTGGGCTGTCGTGTTTCGTTGCAAGCTAGAGGGTTGGTTGCCTCTTATACTGCTGCGGCAGCGGTTGCGGGCGTGTCTGGAATACCGCGCTGAGCCGTGTTGATGATTCGTTTTTCATGGTGCTGCTTCTTTGTCGTCGTCGTACGCGCTTCGTCTAACGACGTTGCTCTTTCCGTCTCTTTCTTTCTCTCCCTCTCCCTCTCTCTCTCTCTCTCTCTGTCTCTCTCTCTCCCTTCTCTCTTTCTCTTTCTCTATTAATCTCTCAATCTCTTCCTATCGGTCGCACCCCCCCCCTCCCCCCCCGCGCAGTGTCGACTCCTCGCCTGATGCCCTCGAAGAGTCGGAGCTAACCAAGCCCAACAAGTTGTGGGGGGGTCGCCTGAGCGTGCTTTCGGAGGGCGGCGAGTCGAGGCTCTCTCGCGAGTCACGGGGCTCCGTCGAGTCCAACGTCACCTTGGTTGCTGGCGATGATACGGCGGGGCCCCACGAGGGCCGCCGCACGACCGGGGGCACGGAAGAACAAACCGCCTCTCCGTCCTCGCAACGTGCTTCCACGGAGCCCCTTCCCCCTCCTTCTTCTCCTGCAGCAGCTTCTCCTGCCGCTGTTGGTGCAACCTCTTCCCCCGCTGTCGGTGGGGATGGCACGGCCGTGCCTCAGCAGGACACCGCCGGTAGCGCAAGCAGCTTCCCGTCCGAGGAGAGCGATTCGGCAGCGGCAGCAGCAGCAGCAGCAGCAGCAGCCGGTGGTGACCGGCAGCCAACTGGGCGAGAGGAAGAAGACGGCCGCGGTGGTGGGGCGGGAGAGAAGAAGCAACTGGTGACGCCACCGTCGTCGTCGCTCGAGCCCCGCAGGGCGCCGGAGGCCGCCGTGGAGACCCCGCTGCCCGGCACGCCGCCCGTGGGGGGGTCATCCCCCCAGTCGAAATTGAACGTGTCGGCGTCGACCCCGACCTCCTCGTCGCCGGTTGAGAGCTCGGTTGTGGCTGACGTCTTAGCGGAGGAGACGTTAGCGATGGGGTCCGATGTGTTGGCGGGCGGTTCGACGAGGTTGTCGGAGGTTGCGGCGAAGGATGGGCTGGTGGATGAGGGTGGACACTACTGCTGTGAGGAAGGAGACAAGGGGCTCGCGGTTGAAAGCGTGGAGTCTGTGCCGAGTGGGCTAGTGGTCGGTGTTGTGGCGGAGGGTGGAGACTGTGAGGAAGAAGAGAAGGGGCTGGCCGACGAAAGCGTGGAGGCTGTGCCGAATGGGCTAGTGTCCGAGGGCGGAGACTGTGAGGAAGAAGAGAAGGGGCTGGCCGAGGATAGCGTCGAGGCTGTGCCGAGTGGGCTGGTGTCCGAGGGCGGAGACTACGAGGAAACTGACAAGGAGCTGGCTGTGGAAAGCGTGGAGGCTGTGCCGAGTGTGTCCGAGGGCGGAGACTGTGAGGATGAAGACAAGGCGCTGGCCGTTGCAAGCGTCGAGGTTGTGCCGAGTGATGGGCTGGTGTCCGAGGGCGGAGACTGCGAGGAAGAAGACAAGGGGCTGGCCGAAAAAAGCGTGGGGGCTCCGGAAGCCCTCAGGCTTGACGACGTGAGAGCCGTTTTCTGTTCTGGCTTTCGCCGGTGGTGTTGGTGTTGATTTTCTGTCGCGGAGATATGAGGCCGTGATGCGCACACCCAAAGCGCGTGTTTGAATACCACTTGCTGGTTGCGGCTGTGTGAAGAACCAGGCTTGTTTCTAATGGAGCTGATGATTATGTAGGCCATTTTCGGGCAGGGGGGGAGGAAGACGCCCTTCTTGTGTGTCCGAGGTTTTTTACTGTGGGGTATGTACCTCGTCGCTTGTTGCTCATTTTTCATTGTGTGGCCAAGGCGGTGCAGCACGCTTGGATGTTTTCGTGCGCCTGTGGCGTACGGCGTACGCCATCCTCGCCATCTTAGTGGCTCTTTTCCGGTTGTTCTTCTCTTGGTGGTGCACATCACGTGCAGCCCCCCTTTCCAAGGATGCTTGCGCCAGTTCCATCTCTCTTGCTGCTCTACACAATACTTTGTGTTGTCAGGTTCGTCGTTGCTTGATGCTCCTCGCCTTATCTCGCTTAATGATCCTCGCCTTTATTTTTGTGTGTCCTGTTCGGCTCCTCTCGTGTCTCTCCTGGGTGCTTCATCTTTCTCATCTCTCCGCTATTTTTTTTGTTGTGTCCTGTTTGCCTCCTGTCGCTGATGCTTCCCCTCCGCAGATGCCCAACCCGTACGAAGACTTCGACGAGCTCCACGACCGCGACTACTACACCGCTCGCACCGTCCAGCTGGACTGCAAGACCCCGGGAGACATTTTCAACTTCTGTCGGCCCCGCTCCGGCACCGTCTACCAGAGCGCTAGTGGATCAGGCCCCGGCTTCTTCTCTGACGCTGACAGCGGTAACGTTGTCGGGGAGGCTATTAACAACGGTAGCATTGTCGGGAAGGCTAGTTGCCAACAAGAGGATTGTGGCCGACGTGGGGCACCTGCGGATGAGCCTCCTAAGGGGGGTTGCACGATTTCGTGAGAGGGGGCTTGCAAGGCTGGAGGGTACGGCGGCATTGTTTATGTGTGTTGTGTTTCGCGGCGGGAGAAGCTTGTGTACGTGGTGGGGAGGTGGGAGGGGGGTGACTCGTGTGGTCTATCTAGGCGAAGCCAAGGTTGAATGAGGGAGAACAGGGTTGATTCACGGTGAGCTAGGTTAAACAACGGTCGGGTGTTGGACGTCCGCACACCGTCATTACAATCCGTACACGCAGACGTGTTTTGCTTACTTCTTGTCTCGATGTTAGGGTATTGCTTGCTTGGCTGTTTTCTTTGCTTTGAAAACGTCACGCCCTGCTGCTGCTGCTGTTGCCCGGTATATAGATGTTGGTGTAGCAGGTCCTGCTTGTACTATACTTCGTATACTTGTTTGATGGGGCGCGGAGACATGTTTTTCTGTGTTATGAGACGAGTGTCAAATTCAGGTCGCTTTTGGAAAGCCTCCTCCATTGTTTGGCCTGTTGGTGTGATGATTAAGGTTAACACGACGGACGTTGTGGTGATCCTCATGTGTTCGCAGCAGCCGAACTTTTCGAGATCATGCCGTTGCGCGTGCACGACAGCGTTATGGTAAAAGGTCGTGAGTGTTGAGTAAGGGGGCAGATGGGGTGGGAGGTTGGGTGTCACGGCCCACCAGGCTTGTTGGGCTTTGCTGTCAATCAAGGGTTCGAAGTGGTCCACGGGGTTCGTTCGTGATGACGGCGGGTCCTATCGGTGTTTTTCTTTTTTCATTGTTCATTCACGTGAGGGTGGTGTATTTGTGTACTAAAAGGATTGACGTATTTGTAGGAGTACTTTTGGGGGGCGTTCGTAACGAGCGATACTGTACGCGGTGTAAACAAGGTAGTTTTTTAACTGCACCTGGTGCTGCTGCCATCGCGACGGAGTCAGTCGTGCTTCATCGTCAGTTCAGCCGATGATGGGGGCGCACGCTAAGTGCAAAGGAAGGACTCTTTCCCAGCTTTCCTATTTCAGTCGGCTTCCAACGTATCCTTGATCGAGAGCAGCGTTTGGCAACGGGGGGGGGGAGGGCAACGGTGGGGGGGGGGGGGGGGGGG